CTCACATATATGCATTACAGAAGAAACACTTATTATCATAGGTTTTTTCCTCAGAGGCACAGTGCGCATTGTACTCCTTTGTGCAGGCTTCTTTGGGGTAGTTGTAGGGGGTGTGTATAAGTGCACCAACGTGCCTACCCTCCATGTCCTATTGTTTCTTTTATTTTTCTTATATGGATCCATGTATTCATAACTATGTTTTTACTTATACCTATTATCTTGTAAGCAATTGACTAACCAAATAAAATAAAATAAAGAAGTAGGAGGGGATGGGTGATAAGGAGTGATGAGAAGATTAATAGTAATAGAATGCAGACTTTGTAAATTGTTGCACAGTGTTGAGGGAATTATTTGTTTTGCAGAGTGATGGTGTTCGGGGGAAAACTGTCCTTGTGTCTAGTTGTTCTGATGTGCAGTGCTCTATAGTGTCGTTTTGAGGGAAGGAGTTGAAACAATTTATGTCCAGGATGTGAGGGGTCTGTAAATATTTTCACAGTCCTCTTTTTGGCTCGTGAGTGTACAGGTCCTCGACTGAAGGCAGGTTGGTAATAATTGTTTTTTCTGCAGTCCTAATTACTCTCTGAAGTCTGTGTCTGTCTTGTTGGGTTGCAGAACCAAACCAGACAGTTATAGAGGTGCAGATGACAGATTCAATAATTTCTCAGTAGAACTGTAATAGCAGCTGCTTGGGCAGTTTGAGCTTTCTGAGTTGACGCAGAAAGAACATTCTTTGTTGTGCTTTTTTGATGAGGTTTTTCATGTTAGGTGTCCATTTTAAGTCTTGTGATATGATAGAACCTATACTCATTTTTTCATAGTACTCAATGAAATCCATTCTACATTCTTCATTTAGTGGTTGTATAAACTATTCTTCTTTATAAATTTGCTTGGATGTAGGGACAAGAAAACTGAGAAATGTGAGAAAATTAGTATTATATGAAAAATGATATTGCTTGTAAAATTCTGCAACCAAATAAAACTGATTCCATGACAAAATACCTTGTCAAGTTTAGAAATATATGTTAAGAATACAGTAGTAATGTTGTACATTGTGCCATTTATTTTTCTTTTAATTTCAGAATGTTCTGAAAGAGATCTATCCTTCCATGCAAGAACTGTTGCACTAGCCATTTAACAATCAACAAATGTGAAATGGTATATCTCTTTGATTCTGTTAACTGAATCTGTACATATGAAAGATACACAAACATACTTTGAACTCTATAATATGCTGAACATCTCTTTCAAGGTGTGCAGCTTTGGCTTTTAGTGAAAAATGAGAAGAATTTCTCCCAATCTCTAACACTTAATCAGCAAATAAGCACTGAGGTTCAGTGAATAGAAGCAGAAATGTCTTATGATAATAGAATATTGACAAAGGTTGCTGAAGAAATTGGCAAAAAGCAAAAGAATGGGTATCTTCAATTTTACCATCGTAAGAACCCTTTAGAAAGGTTAAGCTGAGATAATTACTGGCCCAAGGTTAACCAGAGCGTTTCCACAGCTGAATAGGGATTTGAGCTTGGTTTATAAAAAATATGTGTGCAATGCCACACCATCAGAAAACCAAATATGCTTCTGTGCCCTTTCTATGAAGAAAGGTTAGTAATATTATTGAGGCAATGATGAGCCCACATTCCTAATGATGGGCGTTCTTCCATTTGTTACTCTAGTCAAAGTAGTTACAGCTTAATTAGATCCTTGGCTTGGTTTGTTTTCTGACCCCTAGCAAATGACCACTTTTAATATAAATATTAGAAGGAGAACAACAGACACAATGCATTGGTTTCCTGGCTCTCATTTTGCACTCAGTTAGCCTTCTGTAGGCAATCCCAAGTAGTTCAGCAAAACTACTTTGCTAAAGTTAATGGGAAAGGGATTCCTGAATTCTGACCTAGCTCAAAAATGGACTTAGCTAGGTAGATGCATATTAGGAGAAAGGATTCTTTTCTTTTGTTAATTTTTCCTGCTTGAAGAAAGCATTCTCACAGCAAATGACATCTGTTACCCAGGAATAACATTTGGCCATAGTATCATAACTGGTATTCAAGTAATTTATGACTGCTGTTCATAACTACGGTTTTTGTTCATGCGGAAAGTAAGGGTACAAATCACTGTGTCTGACTCTCATTATGCCTCAGATGTACTGTCTCTTTTTGTACAATGCAGTGGCATATAAACCAGGGGTGGGATGCAAATATTTTTACTACCAGTTCTGTGGGCGTGGCTAGGTGGGCGTGGCTAGGTGGGCATGGCCAGGTGACTGGGAGGGCATGGCTTTTTTGTGTGTGCAGCACACACACACCTCCTTTTTTTTGGCCTCCTGGCCCTCAGAGAAGCCTCCTGGGGGTGCATTTTTGCATTTTGGTAGTCTGGAGTTTTGAAAAAACTACTGAGCTGAACTGTACTGAACTGTATACTGTATACTGAATTGTAAGGAAAATTGACCGTCTGGGGTATCGCATATCGCATGAAGGGATAGAATTGGACCTGGAGAAGGTCTATGCAGTTTCAGAATGGTCTCCACCGCATACCAGAAACACATTTGCAATGTTTTCTAGGATTTGCTAATTTCTACCATCAATTTATCCTGGCTTTTGCAAAGATTGTGTTGCCCATTACAAATCTCTTAAAGACAAAAGGAGAACTAAAACCAAAGCCCAATCGACCTTTGGAGTGATCCATGGAAGGCCAAGTGACTTTTGAGAAACTGAAACGACTATTTGCAGCCAAACCTGTTCTTAAACACCCAGTTATGGATGCTCCCTTTGTAATCCAGGCTGATGCAAGTGACGTTGCTGTGGGAGCAGTCCTACTCCAAGCAAATGCGAATGGGACTTTACAACCTTATGCTTAAACCTTCCCAAAATTAACTGAAACCGAATGGAGATGGGCTATTTGGGAGAAGAAAGCTTTTGCTGTCTGATGGGCATTATTAACTTAGAGACATTTCCTCGAAGGAACAAAACACCCCTTTGAGGTGTGGATGGATCACAACAACCTAGAAGCTTTAAAGACCTCACGAAAGCTGTCTCCCAAGCAAATTCATTGGGTGCAATACTTTAAGTGGTTTAATTTTTCATTAAAATACCTACCAGAGAGAAAGAATTTTATGGCAGATGCTTTATCAAGATTGCCCCAGTATAATAGCACCCAAGCTGAAGTGATCCGCCCTGTTGTCCCTACGAAGCGACTGGCTGTCCCAGTGGTCACCAGAGCCCGGGGAAGGGGAATGTTGATCTTTCTAATGGTTTAACTGAACAGTTAGAAGAATCTTCTCTGTGTTTCATGTTTGTTTACTGAAACCTGAGCATACCTCCCCTCCTCAACCTAACCAGCCCACCCCTCTGGTTCCCCTCCTAATTTAAGGAAATTCTGGACTCCAGGAAACATAGGGGAAGACTGCGGTTGTTTGGAAACAATGTCAGCCTCCAAGAGGTTTTCCTGACATCTTTTGCTGCTTGAGTCCTGTCGGCTGCCATAGAAAAGGAGAAGGGGTCATTTGTTATTTGGGAGAGGAAGGTTGCTGGAGTGTGAAGACGTTTCTGTGTGAACTAAAAAGGAGGGGATGCTTTCCTGCTTACTGCACAACTGCACAGACTTATCTCTACTAAGCCAAGGTCAACCGTCTTGGCATACCAGATGAGTGAGAAACCACCTGAAGATGTACCCCATATGACATTATTCACACCTCAGATAGAAAGACCATCTGGACTCCTGGAGGAGGGAACTTAGGATAAGTTTCAATATGTAATTTCCCCACCTATTTGCCTCTGATCTTGCTTTTCTTTTATTGCTATCACTTCAAACTCAGAAAAAGTACTTTTCTCAATTTTAATGGAGACGAAGGATTTATTTCTTGGGTTTTGAATGAGGCACAGCTGACACCTCCTCTGCCTGGTGTTTTCCTATTATGCTGGTTATGATGTAATGATTCAGGATCATCAATACTGAAACAAAAATTCTATACTATTATCAGAGATTCCCTGAGGTAACTGAAATGGATTAATTTGAAGACAGCCAGGACCCCTGATTCCAGTGGGAATGAAATTTGGGCAAGTTTTGGCTGACTCAGCACTGCTGCGTAACTGCTGCTTTATCAGCTCCACCATGGTGCTCAGTCAGTTGCAGTCACATGTAAAGTAACAGTGTTACTTTATATGCCTGGGAGTACAGTCATGCTGGCGACATGCCCACAAAAATATCTATGCACAATGCTGGCTCCCTTGGCTAAGAAATGGAGATGAACACTGCCCCCTAGAGTCAGAAATGACTGGATAGGGGAAACCTTTACCTTTACCTTGAGAAATATATGTATATATATGTACTGAATGCAGAAGTTAAAAAAAAAGACAGATCATGTTGCTTACTTGTTTACTAAACTATTAAAATGTTACAGATTATTAGAAATATTCAGAAAAAGTAGAGAATAAGCAAAGAAAGATGTCATTCTTTATGATGGCAGGTAAGCAAGAGACCAAGAGATTTGGAATGGTAGTTGATTTTTTAGCTTAATGGTTATGCATCCTTGAATTCCTTACATGCTCCACGGTGCTTTAGCATAAGTGCTCCACGACTCCTTCTGATAAGACAAAAGCAAAGTGAGATGTGAATATTCAGAAGATGTAAAATTACTCATTATTAAATGAATGCAAAGAGAAAAAGCACGAGAAGCATTGACTCCCAGTGTAAGGTCGATAGAAATTGATGATGAATTCTGTTGGCCACTTCATTTGACAAAACAGCCCCTTTCCCCAGTTTCTAACGTTCATTTCTGTTAGAAAATCCCTAGTCAGGAAGCAAGATGAGAGCAAATAAGAATCTTAAATTCTCTACATGCTGAGAGCAAACTAGCCAATAGCTCTGGGATCACTTGTTTTTCATTCTCCAAAACTTGAAAGTTATACTTACACAACTGCATTGCAGAACAAGCACTGGTTGCCATAGGTTTCACCATCAGAACCACAGTGTGGTATATACTCCAAAGTACAAGTGACTTGCTCCGTACCACCGCACTCAATCTGCAGAAAGCAACAATATATTTTTTCAAATCTTAGGATTGAAATAATAAATGTTGAATTGTTATAAAATTAATCACGCAGAAACATGGTGGTTGGATTTACTTGTTCCATCAGCAAAATGTTCCTGTTTTGAAGGATAGTACCACATAAAGATAAAGGGTCTGTATCATTCTTCCAGGGGGAATTAAGAGGTGTCTGTAACGTATTAGGTAGAATGTCTATAGATATCCTCCATCATTTAGGCCATGATTGTCCCAAAGCTTCTTTTTTCTTGTTCCCCCCTGCATCCACCCCTTTGGAAACATTTTGCTTCTCATCCGAGAACTGAAGAAGCTTCTTGGATGAGAAGCAAAATGTTTTCAAAGAAAGTCCAGTTGCCTTTTGAAAAAAGCACCTTTGGGACATCTTCCCTCACTGATGTCTATGCTATCGAGTAAGGCTGGCAGTTGTAGTCTATCCAGTAACATAACTCCTGAATGCCTCAGATTCATCACTTCTGACATAAATAGTATATAAAGCTAATTACAGACATAATCATACTGTAAGCCTAGCAGAATCCTGGTCAGCCATTATTACCTTCTTCTATTAATTGCAAAAGAACTAAAGTTGAACTGATGGAGGCTGGATCCAAGATGTATTTAAAATAATACAAGGTAGCTCAAGGTAGGTACTTTGGGGGTAACAACTCTTGTCCCCAAATGCACAGTAATAACAGTGGCCTTATTTTCTGCTGAAATCTTAATAATTTGGGGGCAAGAAACCTCTCCTGTGGAATATCATTAAATGGGTCATTTAGAAGGCTCTAAGTTCCTATTGCATAGAGTTTTCACAGGGAGAATGTAGATTATGGGTTACAGAATACTGTAGATTCATCTGAGACAAGGCAAGGCTTCTGTTTTTTCAGTCCATCCACTTATTCCACTAAAGTTAGCACAAAGATGGAATATCTGAACCATCCGTTCCAATGAAGCTACAATAGATTAATGGTAATCTTACATTGATCCATAGTCTACATTTGCTAGATTTATAAACCTTCTTATCATCAGAAATATCATCTTTCAGTTACTAATGAGACTCTCTTCAGTTTGGAAGGATTGAAATCCTGGTTTCAGAATATTCAAAGTGAACCAATGTTAAAGGCCTAAGAACACTGAAATTATAATTGGCCTTGTGCAAGTGTGCATGTGTGCGTGTGCGTGTGTGTGTGTTAAGTGGCTACTGCAGCCACTTCATTTCAGCTTTGAGCCTTTGTTATGCTTGATCCTCAGTTGTGATCTCCATTTGTGACCATGGATACTTTCTTAAAGGCATCCAACAGTCCTTCATCCCAGCTATAAATGCCATAAATAGAGCAAGAATTCGTTCAGTTCCCTTTCAAATAATCAAAAATAGCCATCACTATTTCTGATGGTGGTGAATTCCATAGGACAGGTATATGAAGTGAATGAAAATGAAATGTGCTTCCTTTTATTAGGCCTGATTCTGCTGGGATTTAGCTGTAGTGGAAGTTCTAATATATGAGAAAACGGGGGGTGGGGCTAACCCTCTCTACCCACACATACCATGATATTTATGATTTTATAGACTTGCCTTCTATTACCTAGTTTTATTTCAAGGTGAAAAAAACAAAACAAACCCTTGTATGATATGCTTTGCTCCTGGAGAATGATGCCAATCTCCTCATAATCTGATGGTTACTTTTGGGTTTTTTTTATAGTTTCCTTTTTCAGGTGGAAGTGACCCAGTGGACTCACCATAGATTCATATAAACATGTTGCTATTTGGCTGATATATTTCCATTCCCCTTTCTAATGTTTCCAAGCATGGAAATTGCAAATTGGGTTGAATTTTTTTCTTAACGAATCACCTACCAACTCAGATTACAAAAATACATCCACAAAGATCTGGGTTTGTTCTAATATGTATATGTCTGTATGTGTGCATGTATGTATCTCTACACTTATTCACACTGAACTGTGTTTGCCATTTTGATATCCACTCACTCTGTTTGAAAGATCTTGAGTTTTTTGCAGTCCCTTTTCAATTCAATTACTCAGATTAGTTTGTAACCTTGGGGAAATTTTGATCCTCAGGAATCATATTAATTATAAGCAAATGGAAGAATATAGATCACTGTTCTCAGCAGAACAGTCTTTCCTATACCTCTCTGACAAAATTATAATAATTTAGATATTGAACCATGTTTTTTTTTCCTGATGGTGCATCATTTTAATAGCCAAGCCATTTCTCAGCTAAAAACTGAACACAATTACAATTAGAGTTTACATCTGCACCATGTAAATCTGTCAAAAATAACATTGCAATTGATTTTCATATCAGATTTGCTTTTCATTTTTCTCTGCTCTGTCAAAAACACTAATCTTAATTTTTAACTATAACAATATGGATTTAATAATGTATTTAAGAGACACAATTGCACTTACCTCTTCTTCCATTGCTTCAGTAACAGAACCTAGAACCAAACAGCAGTAACATAAAAGTATAAAATTTAAAGTTGATGTTGAAAATTGATTGACTGGATAACATTTCTTCAATTATGTAAACATGAATGTGTTTTATTTCACATTCTCCTTTATGTTCTCACAATAAACCTATAATCGGATACCAATATATGGACATTATTTTCAATACCACTGAATTACATTTGCAACAAAAAGAATCCATTAACTTGACAACATAAAGTTAAAAAATATTTTCTTCAAAATGTATTCAGAACCAATTATCTTATGATCTTCAAGCTTCCTTCCATAGGTATCTGAAACTAGATGGAAATTTTGAAACTTAGTGAAATTTCTGAATCTTCACATCAGCCATGAATAAAGTGGTACATCACAAGCACTTACTGTGAGGTGGAAGCCTTTTGTCTATTGATTGATTTACCTCATTACACAGGGATTTTCTTGTCTCATCAACTAGCAATGTGTGATTTCTTCATGCAATAGGATAAATACCACATGGTACACTTTCGTATTCTTTATGATCCTTCCAGTCAATCCTTAATTTAAAGATTATTTCTGGTTGCAGAAGCTTTTAGAATGGCTGAATGTCTGTCTTTCTGAGGAATACATGATATAATATGCCCATTTCTAAGAGGGACACTTCTTTGAAAGGAATTTTTACAGTTAGGATGTGGGCTCACCCATATAAAAGTATAACATCAAGGTGACAAGCTGATCCCCTGCTGTTTTCATGATTGCCTTGTTTGCTCTTTCTGAAGTCCCTGCTAACCACTTTCTGATTCACAGATTCCACTACCAGAGGAGGGATCCAATTAAGAAAGCATATAGAATAACATTTTGTATTCTTCAAGGCTGCTTTTTACACAGGCTTCTAGGTAAAATATATTTCAACCATAAAATAAGGAAGGGAATCTTTCCATCTCTGCTTATTCTACTATGGTTGGTAAGCTCAACCATGGTTTGCTTGATAACAATCAAAAACAACTTAATGGCTGTAAATTTATAACCCTTTTGTTGGAATACAATGTTGGGTTAAATATAATGGGCAGTTAGAGTTTAGTTGATTACAGTTGGGCTTCTGCATTCATCATAAGAAATGCTTTCTGGGGCTTTAATACTGCTTGGTCTTTAAATGTTGGTATCTATTGGTGTCAGGATTATGGAGTGCTGTAATTTTATTTCTAAAGATTCATAAGATTCATATAATTCCAGCTGTAATTTGGGGTTGGAAATCCCTCATAATTACAACATTCCAGTAAAGGAACCTTTAAAATGCCCACTTTTGCAAGGCCGAATGGATAATGTGGATCTAAGTCTCAAAATGCCATCTAAATGAAAAAGATCTTTTGCAAGATTTTTAATTAAGGAGGGAAGCAACCTAATCACGTAACCTAGAAGGAAGAAGAAATTTCCTGACAGAACAATTAAACAGTGGAATAACTTGCTTCCAGACGTTGTGAATGTTCCAATACTGGAAATTTTTAAGATGAGATTGGGCAACCATTTGTGTTAAATGGTAAAGGGTTACCTGTCTGAGCAGTGAGTTGAACTAGAAGACCTCTAAGGTCCCTTCCAACTTTTTATTCTATTCTATTCTATTCTATTCTATTCTATTCTATTCTGTTCTGTTCTGTTCTGTTCTGTTCTGTTCTGTTCTAGTCTAGTCTAGTCTAGTCTAGTTTAGTTTGCTCTAGTCTATTATTTCTATGGTGCTCAGCTTACCTGAGTACAAGAAGAAGAGGGCCAGGGTGAAAAACAGGCCAAAAGCCACCTTCATGTTGGTAGGAGAGGATAAACCACACCAGAGCTCTTCCAGGGAAATAGCTTCTTGCTATCACGGACACAGGTGCTGTTTAAGCTCAAGCTGGGCATGTATGTGTATATATAAGCATTTCCCCACATCTTTATCAAAAGAAGATAAGAGAATGTTGACACTGCAAGTACCTATAGGCACTTTTAGGTTCCTCTACTCTATTGTGTTAGGCAGCTTCTATTATTAAATATAGAGTGAATCTTTGGGAACAGCAAACATTTGATATATCATAAATCAAAAGCAAGAAAACCACTTGTATGTTTAAAGGGGAAACGTAAAAATATCATTTATTCACTGAACAACAAATATTAAAGAACACACAGAAGTCAACTCTTAGATAAAGTCAGGATAACTTTCAGCGTGTGTTTCTAGGTATGATCCCGATTATGAAATTCGACCACAAAGCATTGAAATTGTGTTCCTATAACAACTGAATAGCAGTGGCTTAGAAGAATGCCATTCCTTAAAGAGCTGCTCTATGTGTATTCTTGCTATCTAGTAGCCAAGAGGCTGTTTCTCAATCTTGGCAACTTGAAGATGTATGAAGTTCAACTCCCAAAATATCTGTTTCCTGCAAGTCCTATAATTCTATGAATTCCATAATTCAATTATGTCTGGATATGGAAGATCATGAATATTTAAAATGAATAAAAAAACAAACCAATCAAAAATTAGCTATTGCGAAGACAGATGCGTGCCAACCAAAACCATATGCATTTATAGTAGTTAAAAACCTTGGTCCACAGCTAAACTTAAACAACTACATCATGCTAAAGAGGAAGCCTACAGGAAAGGAGATAGAATGCTGTACAATCATGCCAGGAATGTATTAACAAGAGGGATCAGAGCAACAAAAAAGCTACTCTGAAAAGCTGAGGAATCAGCTCTCAACAAATGAACCAGCACATGTGTGGAAAAGCCAAAAAACACCACTGATTTCAGCAAGCCTCCCTCCATTGCTGAAGGGAATTGGCAATTGTAGGTGACCCGAATGTGTTCTACTATATATTTCAGTCTGTCAAGTACCACTACCGTCCCCATCTCAGATACAAAAATAACAGCCATGTCTCCTACACCTGATTCCATCCTCTCGGGCCCTCACCCACAGACCAAGATGTGTAAGTCTATTATCTACTATCATCCAGGTAAGTCTGCTATCATCCAGGTGACGAAGAAACCTTCCATCAAGGAACTGTGAATGACTACAGATCAGTTGCTCTGACATCCATAGTTATGAAAAGCTTTGAAAGATTAGTGCTGGCCCATCAGAAAGCCATCCCAGATCTGATGCTAGACCCCTTGTAATTTCCCTACCATGCAAATAGATTGGCAGATGATGCTGTCAGTATGGTGCTGCACTATAACTTAGATCTTGAATCACCAAAGACCCATGCAAGGGATTCTTTTGTAGACTTCAGCTTGGCATTCAACACCATTATTCCAGAAATCCTTCTCTCCAAACTGACTGAACTAGCTGTGCCTAACCACACTTGCAGATGGATTATAAACTTTCTAACAGATAGGAAGCAGCTCGTGAAGCTGGGTAGAATCATCCCAAAGATGTCTTTTCAGGAGGCAAATGCACTTTCTTGTTTTTTTTTTCTTTTGAAAATGTTTTACTTCTCATTCAAGAAACTTCTTCAGCTCTGACAGGATAGCGGGGAATTGAAGGATTTATATTTCTTACAGACAGCAGGAAATTTGCATCCTTTTAGAGGGTCGTTGAAGCACTTGGAGGTTTATCTGTGACCTTCTTCAGCTCTGACAGAATAGTGGGGAATGGACAGCTCCAGTCAAAGCTGGAGAGGCTTCATAGATGAGAAGCAAAACATCTTCAAAACAAAAACAAGAAAGTTCAGTTGCCTCCTGAAAAAGCACTTTTGGAACAATCAGAGACTGAAAATCTCTACAGCAATAGTCAGGTGACCCTGAGGACACAGATAAACTTCCAAGTGCTACAAAGACCCTCTAAAAGGATGCAAATGACCAGCTGTCTGCAAGGAATAAGAATCCTTCCATTCCTCTCTACCTTGTCAGAGTTGAAGGAACTTCTTGGATGAGAAGTGAAATGTCTTCAAAACAAAAAACAAGAAAGTGCAGTTGCCTCCTGAAAAAGCACCTTTGGGACAACCAGAGACTACAGCACTACATTGTTTATGAAAATATTGAAGAGTACTGGGCCTAAGACGGAATCGTGTGGCACCCCACTGCTTCCTTCCCTCCATGAAGACTTAGACCCATTAAGGACTATTCGTTGAGTACGGTTTGACAGTGAGTTGCGAATCCATCTGGAGGTCATGTGATCTATCTTACATTTTTCTAGCTTACCAAGAACTAGGTTGTGGTCTATTTGGTTGAATGCCTTCATGAAGTCTAAGTATATTAGGTCCACAATATTTGCTGGTCTACTAATTTAGTCACTATGTTGAAGAATGAAATAAGATTGGTTTGGCATGATCTGTTTTTAACAAACCCATGCTGACTGCTAATTATTACTTTATTGTTTCTAGATATTGGCAGATCTGGGGTTTTTTTTCATTTGATGGCAGCCAAAAAGTTTCCTTCATAGAAAATGAAGACAGTTTTGATGGTGCATGTGAAGATTGGAACCTTTCTTCTGCTTTGCATGTAATTAGGTTCAGGAACAGAAATCCCACCTTATTCTTCTGACATCAGAGGCTGAAAATGTTCCTTTCTTCTTTGGAGAGCCTAGAAAAAGTGGTTAGTTTAGGCAAACAAGCTGGTATCTGAAGGTTGATCAAGTTTAGTATTTCCCCTTTCGCACACTTGTGGCTTTCCTTCCTCCTTAAAAGCGCAAAGTTGTAATAATGGCAAACAATAGAATATGTTATATACATATATATATACATAACACAGAAAGGTGGTCTTTCTCGTTTTTAAATTGTAGGCTAGAGGTATGTATTCTTTTCTGGGCCAAAAGCTACCTTCTAGGCATAACTGTGAGGAGTCCACCTTCGTCTTTATCTTTACCTCCAGTTTCCCACCTCTTTTGTAAGCAAAATTCAGTCCTTTGCAAATATAATATTTTTAAAACAAAGAATGGCCATCCATACTTGATAACTTTTAAAGAAAAAATAAATATGCCACTTGTGTTTGACTAGATAAAATTCAAAAAGTCACCCGGTTAATTTATGAGCTGATCTTCGCAAGATAGTGGTTTAGAAGAACTAATCAGTCTTTGTTCTCCTCCTTACTATGTTTTCATAAGCCTGATCAGTTTTTTTAAGTGCTGTATCATGTTTAATTTGCTTGAGATCACCCCAGGACCTGTGACCCACAGTTGGAGAAGTCCAAGTATAATCTCTATGATATAATCAAATTTGTATCAGTGGCCATTTTTATTTTATTGCGATATGGAACCCTTTGAGACACGCATGTCAATTTCTGAGAAAAAGATCTTGGCAAAATAGCGGAGTCAGAAAAACTAAACAGTCTTGGTTCTCCTCCTTACTATGTTTTAATAAATCTGATCAGTTTTTTTAAAAATGTTGTGCCTATGTTTAAACTGCTTGAGATCACCTCGGGAACTGTGACCTACAGTTTGAGAAGTCCTAATATAAAGATTATCAAATTATAATATATAATATGTAATATAATCAAATTTGTATAAATAGCCACTTGCTTTTATTTGATCTCCCTAACCCTAATCCTTTGAGACATGCATGTCAAGGTTTTAAGAAAAAATGCCATATGTGTTTTCCTAGATAAGCTTTTTGTTCTCTTCTGTTTGATCTTGACCAGTCAATCAGTTACACTTTCGATTGATTGCCTGACTTCACATCTCAGATGGGGAGGAAGAATAACTTTTATTGGCAGCTGAGCCATACTGACCCTAGGGAACAATTCAGATAGGAGCGGCTAGAAGGAGTACAGGAACAAACCCCTTGAGGAGCCTGTCTTTCCATAGTGCAATAGCATGCTGATGATACCACGTGGGGCTCTCTGCCCTGGGCCATCCGGGTGAAATTGTCAAAGTTCAGCCCCAGGGCTTGGAGGTTATAGGGACCTGTTTGGGGAAGAACAGGCTTTGACTCAACCATGCAAAGATTGAGTAGGCAAAGGTTTTGACAATCACCTAAATATGAGCCTGCAGTGTGCAGCCACTGCCAAAAAAGTCGGTACAATCCTATATAAACAGAGGCATAGAATCAAAATCACATGAAGTATTAATACTGCTTTATAAAGCTGTGGAATACTGCATCCAATTTTGGTTATCGCATTACTAAAGAGATGTTGAGACTTTGGAAAATGTTCAAAGAAGAGAAACTAAGATGATTAAACTTCTGGAGACAAAAAGGTATGAAGAACGGTTGCATGATTTGAGTTTGGCTAATCTAGAGAAAAGAAGAACTGGGGAGTGGGGAGATAATTGCAGTGTTTGAGAGATTACCGCAAAGAGGAGGGAGTCCATTTATTTTCCAAAGTATCAGAGGGCAGGACAAGAAAGAATGGATGTATGGAAACTAATCAAGGAGAGAAGCAACCTGGAATCAAGGAGAATCTTTCTAACAGTGACGACAATTAACCAGAGGAACAACTTGCTGTCAGATGTTGTGGCTGCATCATCACTGGAGGTTTTTAAAGAAGAGATTGGACAGTCACTCAGTATCAATATCCCTCAGTATCCCATCTGACATGATCATCATTAACCATTCACTGCCAGCTTCCAACAAGCAAAATGGCAATGAGGAAGCTGTCAGGAAGTTGCAAGTTGTGGTTATCTGACATTTTGCTTAATGACCTTTGGCTGAAGGATTGCAGCTGGAACTGCTAGGATTGCTATGATAAGTTGGCCTGGTTATGTGAGTTTCTACTTTATGACAATGTTGCCTAGTAATGGAGTTTCCAGTCCCAATTACACATTAACTGAAGTTTATATATATTCAGAAAAACAGCCAGGCATGTTTCTGCCAAATTCATTGCATAAAAGAGGGAGGGACACTATCAACATTGCATGATTCTGTTACTACTGCCTATCTCAGTATAGTCCTAGTGTTCTTATAGAGACTGTTTCTGGATCTAGTCTATGTTGAAATGGGACAACAGAATATCTGTCCATTCATCCAGTATGATGGGGAATCTAGACCCAGTCTAGCTCCTTTCACTAGGAGCCGAGATGTGTCTTCTCATCAGCAACCTATTTATGGAACAACCTTCTTCCCAATATAAGGTTGACCCCAACCCAAAGGGCCTTTAGAAAGGCTGTCAAGAACTGGTATTTTTTCTCTTCAGGCTTTGAGTCGTGATGTGTGCTGCCCCAATTGAATGAAGGTCAAAATCTTTCATTGTAAAAGAGTTGTCTTACTACTGGTATCATTATTATTTGTCACCCTGTAGTCTAATAGATATTAGGAAATAGAGATTGTGGAGCAAAAGAAACTCAAAAGCAGGTGAGGATGCATAGTTCATTTTATTGACAAGTGAACTTCATTTAGAAGATATTCCCAGTCTAAGCAAACAAAAACAGAGGAAAAAAGGATGGAGAAAGATCCATGTTGCTTGGAGAAAAATCTCAGTCCTCTGGATCTGTATTGCATTACTGTTTACATTTTCCATAGTATTTGAATGTTATTATTCCACGGCTCTCACTATGAAGAGAAAGATATAGAACAGATTTTGAAAAGCCAGACCATTTAAGCTTTTTCACAAGTACAAAGGCAACATATTTTATAGCATTACAATTGAAATGTAGGATCTTCTGTAATGAGCAGAATTAACCCTTGCTTCATCTTGGCTGGCTGTGATATGACAATAGAGAAAAAGCTCTCCAATGAAGACATTCATTGACTTCAAAACAATCTTTGTCAGCCTGACTGGCACCAATTCAAACAGCAACAAATTCAGGTCTCCTACAAAGAAATCTACTTAAGTGGTTCATTTTGGTATCATGAGTGAAACCGATACTTACATAAATGCATTGCAGAAAAGGCATCTGTTGGAATAGGTAATGCCATCAGAGGCACAATGGGGTTGGTACTCCTTGGTGCATGCTGATGTGGGATAGCCAGTGCAATCAACCTTCAGAGAGAATAACATTGGTTTTAACTTTTCTCAGCTAATCTAAGACTCCTAAAGATTTTGTGATCTTCCAAATGCAGTGATGTAAAAACAGTGTTTTCCAATTTGTAGACTTCCATGTGTGTAGACTTCAACTCCCAGAAATCTCTGCAATGTTCAGTTGAGGAATGCTGGACAATGAAGTCTACATATCATAAGGAAATGGCCATGTAGAGAATCCATGAGGATCCCTGGTGGTGCAGTCTTTAGAAAACAGTATTGCAGATTAATTTTGCCCACAGCCTGGAGTTTGATACTGATGGGCTCAAGGTTGACTCAGTCTTCCATCCTTTCAAAGTCGGTAAAATGAAAACCCAGAATATTGGGAGCAATATGCTGATATTGGTAAACTGCCCAGAGAGTGCAGTTGCCTTTTCGAAAAAAAGTCCTTTTGGGACAACCATGCCTTGGATGATTGAGAATCTCCATGGAGAACCTTGGAAAGCCTTCTTCTGGATGTCAGGCTGCCCTGAGGTTATGTGCTTTTGATATCAGATAAAAACCTCATGTGGTTATTACTGACTTAACTTTCTGTTATTAGGACATCTTGCCTTTTATGGATTGTAACCACTTGTAAGTGGTTAGTAAATGGACTACAAATATTTTGTATAAATACAAATGACTAGGGCCAAATTTGATTTGGCTTTACGTATTTGCATTTAAAGTATGCTCTTAATATGATTGCTCTCTAAAACAAGTGGAAGGCAGTCCAGTCTAGAACTCCTGCATTTCAAAGGAGAAACCTAATTTTTCTCCCAGACTCTAATAATATTTACTCCTTACATTTAGGGACAGGGCTTAAAAGATCCTAAATTCCAAGTAAATAGTTTTGGCATAAAGGCATATCATTCTAGGGGCCATCCGTTTGGATTCACTATCATGGAGAGAGACAATTGGGCAGCAAAAGTACGATACATCAGCATCTTTCTTTCAACATTTTAATCCTGTTTTGAATTTTCAGCATCTATATTTAGAAGTAGTTGATAGCTGGGTATCTTGTCAGGCAAAACAATGGAATTCTTATAGTAGAGACTCCCTTTCACATTAAGCTTGACGCTGCAAAAGGTAGCATCTTTTTGTTAATTTTAAAAATCCAAATTAATGCACAAATAAAGGAGAATATCTGTAGCTCAGGGTTGAAATGAAGGGTCCTTAGTGCTCTCTGAGCTTATTTGTTTTCTTGCAGACCTTTCATTACCCAAACTAGGTATCATTGTCAGTGCTAGTGTGGATTAGCAATTATCTAGTTTGGGTAATGAAACGTCTGCAAGAAAACAACCCAGCTCAGAGAGCACCAAGGAACACCCCTTCCCCCAAATTAATGTATTATGTTCTTCTTGAAGTCAAAGTCGATACATTTTCCATCGTGTACTTTCCTAATATTAAGAGGAGGAAGAAGACATCTAAATTATTGTTTTGGTTCTCTAATTATGTCAATTATTTCCTTGAATGTATTCTGTTTTTTCCATGTAACATAAATCACAATTTTACCATTTCATACTAAAACTGGTTACATGACATAATCCATAAAGTCCATATAAATGCCATCCCAGACATTGCTTTAATTGCTATCCCCATCCCCACCATTGCAAAATCATTGCATGTCTAAATCTTCAGCTGTAATTGTTTGAGTTTATTACATAGTTGACACTTACTGGTTTTCCTTCTTCTTCAATAGCATCTAAAAAGAAAGATCAAATCCATAAACAATATAAAGTAAAACAATAGCTTGAATAAGGACCAACTAAATAATTTATTTCATTGCAAAAAAAATAGTATTTGACCTTACACATTTCTTTCTGTCTTAAATGCAAAAATATTCAAATTAATTCAACCACACTGAATAATAATTGAGGTAAATATGATATAAGTAAATATAAATTTCTTTAATCAGCTGACAACATACAAACAAAAATAAGCAATCAAAAACAACTATAAATTTACAATCCTTTTGTTGGAATGCAATGTTGGACTAAGTACAATGGATAGTTAGTTGGTTAAAGATTTAGTTGGTTAAAGCCGAGCTTCCAGGCTTTGATTCATGATCTTGGGCTTTAATACTTGAAATCTGCTTAGCCTTTAAATGTTGGTATCTGTTGGTATAAGGATTGTGGAGGGCTGAAGTTTCATTTTCTAAAAATTCACATTATTTCTACATAATACCAGTTGTAAGTTGGGGTTGGAAATCCCTCATAAATACAACATTCCTGCAAATGTTGTATTTAAAATTCCCACTTTTGTGCGGCTGTGTGGATAATGTAGATCTAACTCTCAAAATGCCATGTACCTGAGAAGAATCTTTTACAAAATGGTGCTTGGCTTACCTGAGTACAAGAAGAAGAGGGACAGGGTGAAAAACAGGCAAAAAGCCACCTTCATGTTGGTAGGAGAGGATGAACCACACCAGAGCTCTTCCACTGAAATAGCTTTCTAGCTATCACAGACACAGGTGTTGTTTAAACTCTAGCTGGGTATGTATGTGTACTTATAAGCATATTGCAGCACCCTTATCAAAAGAAGATAAAAGAATGTTGACATTGCAAGTACCTATAGGTACTTTTCAGTTTCCCCATTCTATTAATATAGGGGAATGTGAAAGGCTTGTGTTAGTCAGTTAGAAAATATTGAGTGAATTTGGGAACAGTAAACATTTGTTAAATCATAAATCATAAGCAAGTAAATCATTTATATGTTCAAAGGAGAAATGTGAAAAATATCATTATTTATGTTCAAAGGGGAAATGTGAAAAATATCATTACACATCAAACAACAGTTATATATTAAAGAACACACAAAATACAGTTCTTAGACAGCCTTACGATAATCTTCATGTGTTTCTAGATATGATCCTGATTATGACATTCTACCACAAAGCAATGAAATTGTGTTATTATTACAATTGATTGAATAGCTATGGCTGAGAAGAATGACCATTTTGCCATTCCTTAAAGAGCTACTCTGTGTGTGTTCTTGCAATCTAGTAGCCAAGAGGCTATTTCTCAATCTTGGCAATTTATGCAATGAAATTTCTTTTTAATATATGCCTATTAGTACATTAGTACATTCAAAGTGACAATAAAGTTATTCTTTTTTTAAAAAAACTTTATTAATTTTACCATTAAAAACAACACATCTACAAATTATACACAGAAGAGAAAGCAAACAAGCCTTGGCAGAGGCCGAGAGGGAAAGAGAGAAGGGCAAATGAGGGAGGAGAGGGAAGGGTAATAGAAAAGGGGGATAGAATGGGAAAAACAGTTAAAATAAAACCGTATTTTTGTGACTGTCTGTAAGATCCTTTCTTCTTCAAATATATCATCAGTGGTACTTTTCATTAACTCTGCTTAGGTAGCCCTTGGTTACAATTTTTCTCGAAATAGTCTATCTTTGATTTAGTCAATTGTACCAAGGATTCCAATTGTTATAATAGGTTGAGAATTCTTTATTTTTTAATGATTGGGTTAGTTTGTCCATTTCAGCGCATTCTAAAATTTTCTGAATGATCATTTGTTCAGTGGGGATAGAAGATGATTTCCAGAACTGAGCAAACGCCAGTCTGGCCGCGGTTATGATATGAATTATAATATACTTCGATTTTTTGGATACTTGTTTATCAAAAATTCCTAGAAGGAAGGACTCTTGTTTGTACTCAGTTTGTTCCTTAGTAATCTCCTCTAGCCAATGCCTAATTTTTTGCCAATGTTTCTGAGCTTCTTTGCATGACCACCACATATGGAAGAAGGTAGCTTCTATGTTTTGGCATTTCCAACATTTGGGACTCGTGTTGGAGTGCATTTTTGCCAATCTCGAAGGGGACAGGTGCCATCTATAAAACATTTTGTATGAGTTTTCTTTATAAGCTGCTGATTTCATGATCTTAATGTTCCTATTCCAGATCCTTTCCCGTTCTGCTAGGGTAATACTCCATCCCACGTTTCTGCTCCACGCAATCATATTTCCCTTGACAATCTCTTGTTCTAGTTCCGTTTCCAATAAGTGTTTGTAGAACTTAGATATATATTTTTTATTCGGTCCTAATAGAATTTTGTCTAAAGTCTGCAATTTATTGTAGATTCCAAATTCCTTAATATCTTGTTTATATCTACTATGAATTTGAAGGTACACCCACTGATCAATTGTAAATCCTCGCTCTTGTAATTCTTGTCATGTTTTCAGCTTTCCTTGTGGGTCTAATAAATTCTCGTATTTAATCATTTTAGTTATATCCAAATTATTAGGGTGTACTATTGCTTCCATTGGAGAAAGCCAAATCGGTATTTTTAGATAGTTTTTTACGTACTTTTTCCAATCGGTTAGTAGCAAGTCCCTGATAAGGTGCCTATGGAAATACGATTGCCTGGGTTTCCCAGTTTCCCACAGAAAGGCGTGCCATCCTTTCTGCGTATCATGGCCTTCTAATATTAGTGTTCTTTTGTTGGTTAGATTCACCCATTCCTTTATCCATCGTAAAATGGCTGCCGTATGATATATTTCCCAGTTTGGCAGGGCTACCCCTCCTCTGCTTTTCAAATCTTGTAAGGCTTTTACGTTGATCCTAGCATTTTTTCCCTGCCAAATAAATTTTAGCGTTAACTTATTTAGTTCTATAAAAAAAAATATTTAATTTGATTGGAATTGTCTAGAATAAATATAGAAATTTTGGAAGTATATTCATCTTAATCAAGGCAATCCTGCCCAGTAAAGAAAGCTGTAATTTACTCCAGGAATCTAAATCTTTCTTAGATTGTTGGAGTAGTTTGTCATAATTGTTTTCTTTTAGTGATTTGCTTTGTGGAGTTAGCCAAATTCCTAGGTATTTAATTTTTTTTGTCACCTGTATTCCCATTGATGTCTCTAACTCTTTATTCTGGTCTCCTGTTAAGTTTTAGTCATTAGTTTTGTTTTTTTCCTTATAATTTTGAGTCCTGCAACTTCTCCAAATCATTCTAATTCTTCTAATAAGTTGTGTCCTTTTTCAATAGGCTCCTCCAAAAAGAAAACCATATCATCAGTGAAAGCTTGTACTTTATACTCTTCTGATTTAATCCTTAGTCCTCTAATTCTCGAATTTTGCCTAATGCACGTCAAGACTGATTCTAGGGCGAATATGAAAAGCAGAGGGGAGAGAGCGCAACCCTGTCTTACCCCTTTTTCTATTTTTATTGGGCCAGTTTGTTCCCCATTTATTAGAATATTTGCCTGTTGGGTGTGGTAAATTGTAGTTACGATGTTTTCGAATCTAGTGCCCAGGTTCATATTGTATATTTTTTGTATTAAGAAATGACAATTTAAATTATCAAATGCTTTTTCAGCATCCAAAAACATAAATGCAAATTGTTTTCCCAGATGGGCTTCATAGAATTCTGAAATGTCTATCACTGTTTTTAGATTATTCTTGATTTGTCGAAATGGGAGAAATTCATTTTGGTCTTCATGGATATGTGTGTTTACAATAAAGTTATTCTAAGTTTAAATCTAACTTTAAGATATATGAAGTTCAACTAACAGAACACCTATTTCTTCCAAGTCCCATAATTCTATAAGCTATTTTCTGGATATGTGAGTATCAGTATAGTGTTTATGATGTCATATTACAAATAAAGCAATGTGCAAACTTCTGCTAAGTGCTACATTAACATTTCTTATAATCAGGTGCTAAATGTGTAAGGAAATTGTCACCTTTTCCCACCTAGAATTAAGGTTGCTTGCAGAAATTGTGGTATAGCTTCAACCTTATATGACTGAAAGGGCAATTTCTCAGCCCTAGCTAATCAGCTGTAATAATAAAACAATTTCACTGTTTTCTAACAGAATTTCATAATCAGGATCATGCTCAAGGTTATCGTGAGGCTAAGAACTGTATTCTGTGTGTTCTTTAATAAGAATATACACAAACCCTCACAAATGCATTGCTGTAAGCTAAAAAGCATGTCTTTAGAAGGCAAAAGGAGATAATCTCAACAAAGTAAATTAATATCCCCTTGTTATTTCATTTGATGGCAGCCAAGAAATTTCCTTCAGGGAAACTGAAGACAGTTTTGAGGATTGCAACCTTTCTTCCACCTTGCATATAATTAGGTTCGGGAACAGAAATCCCATCTTATTCTTCTGACATCAGTGGCTGAAAATGTTCCTTTCTTCTTTGGAAAGACTAGAAAAAATGGTTAGTTTAGGAAAACAAGCAGCTGGTATCTGAAGGTTGATCAAGTTTAGTGTTTTCCCTTTCACACACTCGTGGCTTTCCTTCCTCCTTAAAATTGCAAAGTTGTAATAATGGCAAACAATACAATATGTTATATACATATATATACATAACACAGAAAGGTGGTCTTTCTCGTTTTAAATTGTAGGCTAGAGGTATGTAGCCTTTCCTGGACCAAGAGCCACCTTCTGGGCATAATTCTGAGTCAACCTTTACCTCTCCTTTTATCTGTCTTTACCTCCAGTTTTCCGTCTCTTTTGTAAGCAAAACCCACTTTTATGATTTTTTTTAAAAAAAGAACCATCATCCATACTTGACAAATTTTAAAGAAAAAATAAATATGCCACTTGTGTTTGACTGGATAAAATTTGTAAAGACACTTGGTTGATTTATGAACTGATCTTGGCAAGATAGCGGTTTCGAAGAAGTGTCTTGTTCTCTTCCTTACTATGATTTCATCAGCCTAATCAGTTTTTTTAAATGCTGTATCTAATATTTGAGTTGCTTGAAACCACCCCAGGATTTGTGACCCACAGTTTGAGAAGTCCTAGTGTAGAGATTTTCCCTGTGATATAATCAAATCTATATACTGTAAGTAGCCACTTGCTTTTATTTGGTTCTGATATGGAACCCTTTGAGACATGCATGTCAATTTTCTAAGAAAAAAATGTGTTTGGCTAGATAAAATTTGAAGTGAAACTTGATTTCAATTTCTTATGGACATGTGATATGATAGAGGTACAGGTTGCGTTGTATCAATTTGAGATGTTCCCTTTTAGGCGAGAGCTCAAAACAGAAGCAGCAAGTGACAACCAGCCTTCAAAGAGATAAGAAGAAAGGTAGGTTTTATTTACATTTTTCTGGGCCACAAAATTCTCTTCCCTTTTGAAAGGGGCTTAGAATTACTTTGTTACATCCAGACTTACTTTCACCTTTTACTTAAGGCTATCATCCACTTTTCAAGCGAAATGCACTCATTCTGGGCAGGCATAAGATAAATAACCGAATAAAAGAATTGGAAGGGGCCTTGGAGACCCTAACACTAACCCTAGTTCAACCCCATGCTCAAGCAAAAGAAACCCTATATCATTTCAGACAAATGGCTCTCCAATCTCTTCCCAAAACCCTCTAGTGTTGAGGCACCCATGACATCTGGAACAAGTCATTCCACTGATTAATTGTTCTAACTGTCAGGAAATTTCTCCT